ACGTCAGCATATTCTGTTTGATAGATAATAATGCAGGACTAAGTGGAACAGAAAAAAAATCCTCAATCTATCCTGATAGAAAATAATTTTTGGTTAGTGCTGACGCATGTCTGTATTTTTTAAATTTTGCTCAAGTTCCACATATTGATCAACTGAGAAAATAAGTTACATCATCATAAAATGCAGACTCTAAAATTATTAATTTGCTTTGGTAGTCACAAAAGAAGGAAGGGAAAAAAGGAGAGGGGGGGAAAGGAGAGAAGAGAAAAAATAAGAGGTAAATAGTGGAGGGAAAGAGGGCGGGGGAAAGGAGGAGAAGAAAAGTAGGATGATATATTGGAATAAAATTGTTTAATCATTATCATTTTTCCATTTGTCACAAGAAACTTCGCAGATTTTGTTCCAAAACTTTAGGAGGAAACACATAATAAGGCTTTAGTTAACCCAAACAACTGTTGGTATATACAGTTGCTTAGGTGTATACAGACGGCTTAGGATGTCAAAATAAGTAGTCTGCAGTTGTCAGGATTATGGTTAGGCAATGCTTAATGAAATTATATGTGAAATGAGATTGATTATAAAATGAAAATATACTGCCTTATTCCTCTATATGCTGTTTTCTGGATCTCGAATTTGATATTTCCAGAGGGCTTTGCAATGTACAATAAAAGAAGTAAACTGCAAGCTTCCACATTTCTTTCGTTTACCCCTGAATTTGCTCAGAATTTCTGAATTATTTGATTTATTCATTTCTAATTTACTTTCCCCCATTTTTTTGGCACATTAGTTTTCCTTGTGCATCCTGTAAAAGCATTTATAGAGAACTTAATGTCTGATACTGGGGTACATTTAATGTTATAGCTCCTGCTCAGAAGGATTCATTTGAGAAAGAACAAATGATTTCCTTTAAAAAGAAAAAAATCTCTTTACTGTTTGTTCATGGTTCTGTAGGGTCTGATAACCCCTTATATGCTTCTCAGTGATTGATGATCAAACCTGCTCAGTTGTTCAATCTACCATTTTAGAGTCTTTGATGCTACTTGACAAATTCATTGGAATCAAGCCTTTGCTAGAGACTAAAATCACATCAAGGAACACAAGAAGGCTTTTATATGAGTTTCCATCTCCAGTCAATTGATGGGTAGTGTCTGTCTGAAGGATTCTCATGATACTTCCAGTCTCTATGGGAAAGTCTACCAAGGTAATTAGTCTTGTGTGGAAGTATTTAAGATGCATAAGAGTTAGATTATGTGTACAAAGGAGGGGAGAATAATCCTGTAAGAGGAGAAAGCATGGGTAAAAGACAAGGAGTATGGAAGAGTATGGTGTGTCGGGGTGCAAAGGAGGGATGAGAAGGGCAGAAATATAAAAAATTTTGAGTTCCTAGTTTCAAAATATGAAGTTGTGAGACATGAAATGAAGGAACTAAGCAGTGGTCTATGCTTAGTTAAGAAGTTTAGACTTTAAGCTGGTTGGTTAACCATTAGAAGGTTTTAAACAGGGAAGTCATGGGCTTGTTTAGCTTAGGGTTTCAAGTGGTTGCTGTAGTGATGGCTTTGAGAAAGATAGAGTTCAGAAGACATAGACTGAATTTGTAGGCTATTATTGTGGTATTTCAAGAGATAGATAATTTGAGCCTGAACAAGGGCACTGCTAGTAGGGACAAGAAAGAAAGTAAAGAAATGTTTAACAGGAAAACTTGCAGATGGACAGAAAAAGAGGATGAAGGAAGGAGAAAAGCTTGGGTAACTGGATGGATATTAAACAGTATAGATGATGTTTCAAAAAATATATAACAAAATGCTAAATGTTTAGAATAGATTGAAATACTGTAGAACATCTAAACTACCTCTCTGTTGACTCTCTTCATTTGGGAAGAGTTTTATTATATAAATCATTTAAAAATATTCATGTCTCCTATTTTTGAAGGATGATAAAAAACAAACTATGTAGGATATGAGGCCAAAGAATATATATTTTTTACAGGATCTCTCTCTGTCTCATCTCAAAATAAGAAATAATAGAGTCCATTATAAGAAACAAATATAGCACTGAAAATAAGTGACTTATGAGCATGGTGGCATTAATTAGTTATTGTCAAACCTAGGATACTTTTAAGAGTGACAGTTGAAGGGAGTGGGCAAAATAATGAAAATTATAAGTTTTTAAATTTATAATTTAAAAATTATAAATTTATCAAACAAGTTATTTTTATTATATTTGTCTATATTAGTGTTTAAAAACCTATTTTCAAAAATAAAATTTTATTAATAATAATATTTTATTAGAAATAAAAACAACATAAGATAAGAAATGAATCTAGATATGACACCAACACATCATCAAATAGAACTGTCTCTGCCAAATAGGGGTATGGTCGGTCACCTTACTTATGAAGCTAGAAATAGATTTTATGTGCTAACTCCTGCAGAAATAGTTTCGTTGTCTCCCCTTGTTGTTACTTCATTTCTCCTAGGGGTCCAGCAGTGAATGCACATATGGTTCATGTCTACATGTGGGCTCACACTGAGGTTGTTATGTGAACTATGGTTTCTGTGTCTCCATTGCAATTCTAGCATTGTGTTCTCCATCATTGACATAGGAAAAGGTACCGGCTGGCTCTGACTGTGGCAGAACATTCTGCTGGTTAGGAAAGTGACAAGATAGGAACATACACAGGGGATGTGTTAGATACATTTTGCAATTTGGACAGATCCATCTTAGGAGAAGAGCTCATCAAGCACCAGGTGGGGAATGATTGTGTTTAAAAATGTTGGATTTGGGATCCTCATAACTGATCACTTTTTTAACATTAAATATATATCTATATATATATATATATATATATATATATATTTATGGCTAGACTGATAGAGCCAAGGATAGCACTTTTGGCTTCTGGTTCTTTGGGACAAGCTGGAATCTATTTCTCACTAACTCACATCTTTTCTTAGTTATTTTATTTACCCTTCACAAATAGTTATTGCAGAGAAGAAAAACTTCCTATGTCCTTTTAGTATTTGGTATCTTCCTATTTCTTGTATCAAATCATTAGAACAAATACTTCAGAATCAGAAAAATTGCCTTAAACCTTAGGCATATTAATATCCACCAAGTGTCAAATTACTCAAATCACCCTTTCTGGTTGGGAAGACGTGTGGCTTTTGAGATAGTATTATAGTCAGGGTTGAATGAGATGTCCAGGTAAAGCCCCTGTATAGTGTTTGACAAATAGTAGGTGGCCAATTAATAGCAACTAGAATTATTAAGGAAGAATTTACAGGTTTCATGTCTGTAGGGACAGCTTTGGAGAAAACTGTCACATAGTCTCCTTCGTCCTCCATTTCAGTTTCTATCCCACTCCTTCCCCTGCAACCCTTCACCATCTCTTATTATACCATTACACCCTCATTGTACCTTTATACTCCCTCCTTTTCCTACATTAGCATATTTTGTTCTTAATTTATCTTCCTCATCTTCTTCCAGACCTTCCAGTCTTACGATCTATTCTTTTGTTGCCTGCTATATCTAACCTTAAATAGGTTCTGTTAATGTAATTTATGCCAAAATATTAAAGACTAAAATCATTTTAATACGCTAGTCTTACCAGCACATATGTTTGTTTTAGTGAAGGTATCAACATCATAACCTAAGAGCAAAATTTAACTTGGAGGCATCAGTAATAGGGAAGGAAGATATATTTTTAAGGAGAGAAAATAATAATAAAAATGTACAGCTAACATTTATTGGGTGCCAACTCTATCTTGTACTGTGCTTTATATACCTTGCATCATGTAACCCTCACGACTAATAAATTATGTACCATCACTGCTATTTTTATGGTGAGAAAAATACAGCTTGGAAAGGTAAAGCAAATTGCCAGAGGTTATATATACCTAGTAAGTGGAGAAAACAGGTTTGGGACTCAAGTCCAACCGAGTTACCATCATCTCTATTGTGCAATCATTTATAGGCTAAATTTTCATCAAGGCAGGTATCTATATCTCTTCTTATCATCATTTGCCAGAACCTAGCACAGTGTCTGGCACATAGTAAACAATCAGTTCATAGTTGATGCATGAATTAATGAATAGATATTTATTCTGCTATAACCCTCTATCCATTTACCTCTCTGGTGTAACCTGTTTCTTGGAAGCCATGCCTTGGCCAGTATTTCAAAATTCTAAACTGCCAATAGTCCTGCGTATACTGTTCTGCCCCCTGACTTCATGCCTCCAGCCTCCTGTCTTCTCTACTTGCAATTCCCCATTTCCTGCGAAGTCTCTGGGCTAACTCCCACTTAACCCTGTAACACAGAGCTAAGAAGTGATCTTTCTCCATGAGGCTTTCTAGGTCTCTGACATCTCTTCCTGTCCTCTCCCTCACTGTCTCGTTTCTTCTTCACACCTCAGCTCAACCCAGTCAAGGTTCTTTCCATGTCTATCTCTTCCATTAGACCATGGTGTTTTTGAAGATAGATATCTGACATATTTTTGTATCCTTTTTTGGACCTGACATATTTTGCATCTGACATATTTTTTTATGTGCTTCTGACCTAGCCTAGTTCATTCTAAGGTACATTTTTTTTTCATATTTTAACAGCTGTGAAATTGGGATACATTTTCCAGTTAATGATGTCTTAAAATTATAATTGAGAGTGTTTTTTCTGACTTAGTGATACAAAAGGAACAGTTGATTGCATCTTATAATCAAGGGCATCTTAGATTTCATGTAATACAATAATAGATATTGAATAAATGTTATATGAAAGAGTGAATCAATAAATAACAATTACAGCACTTCTCAAATTACTTTATCATTCCTACTTATAACCTACCTGTACTGCTTCATAGATAATGTTGCAGGACTGCAATTGAGCACTATTCCTTATATATATGCTGGGCTTTGCTAGTAAAACTAAATCAGATAAACTAGTTGGAATTATTTTTAATTATTTTTTTCTGGACTAATGTGATCTGTTCCCTTTGCCTGTATTCTAGGTGAAATTGATCTTCAAATTCTCTCCAAAGTGCAGGCTCAATACCCAGGAGTTCCTATCAAAAATGAAGTTGTGGAACCAAGTGCTGAACAAATTGCCAAGTACAAAGGTACCTGTAACTCCTCGTGCTATATGTCAAATTCTGTCCCAAAAGGCTTATCATCCCAAATTTATCCCTTTAATTATTAACAGTATCATTACTGTGGTATATTCTTTGTAAGCTTATTGGGAAAACCTAATTAATTTGTTTTCTTGGCAGGGATAACTAAACACCTCATAATATGAACAGTAAATAATTAAACCCCGTTTTTCACTGACTCTCCATCCATTCACTGGTCATGAACTATTATTTTTGATGTTTATTCTCAGATACAGAGTTATTAATTCATTCAGGAATGTTTAATCAGAATCCCAGTCCTCAAAGAGCTTATGTTTAATGGATTATATTAGAAATCTGAAAACTTTTTCTGAAAAAGGCCAAAAAGGTAGTAAATGTTTTAAACTTAGAAGACTGCAGAATCTCTGTCACAAAAAATCAGCTCTGCTACAGTAGCAAAAAGACCAGTCACAGGCAATACATAAACTAATGACTGTTGGTTTATTCCAATAAAACTTTATAAACACTAAAGTTTGAATTTGATATTCTTTTTGCATATAACAAAATAGTATTCTTTTGATTCTGTTCAGTCATTTAAAAGTGTAATAGCATTAGATATGAAAGACAGAGGCATAAAGACAAAAAATAGAATAGTATATGATTTTTGCTTGCAGTTCATTTAAAATAGGCAGAGGGCCAGATATGGCCCAGGGGCCAGGATTGCTGACTCCTGTTACAAAATCATATCACCTGTTTTACACCAGTTTTTCATTGATAAAATCCACCACTTAATTCCCCATTAATACTGAGATAATGTATGTTTGATCAGGGCTCTCATAATTATTTCTTATTGACTCTTTCTTTAATCTCTAAATTGATTTAATACTAGAAAAAAATCAGGATGAACTCTCTGGTCTTCCAGAGCTGGAGAAAAAAAGAAAAATGTCTTTTATGTTTGTTATGTATATAACACTGATTGCATTAAAATTCTAAATGGAAATGGGTTCTACATTTGCAATTAAAATTGATGGTGTGTCACCTCTTTTCTGTATTTTAGAGTTTGTAGCCAAGTCTTCAAACCTGGAAAACATAAAGTTTGCTTGGCATAGAGAGACATCATCTGAATATCAAAATAGAATAATGGAGAAAAAGGAACTTCAGAAGTGGGACTTTATTCATATGATTCAGGTAAGAAATATTTATGGTTATATACTCTCAGAAAGATTTTTTCAGTAATGTGTATGAAGAGTGCTTAATATTCTAACTTTAGAAAGAAAAATGAGAATCTGATTTCTGATTTTATAAGCAAGAATATTCAAATTGAGGGTATAGATGTTAATAATACTATGAAATTCTCTATAACATTCAAAAAGCCAGTTTTCTCTACTCAAAATACTTCCAGAGTTATTGATTTTTTTCCCATAGGACTGAAACTTTATAGATAGATTTGAGGACAGTAGAATGTAATAACATATCCTACCACAGTTCTCCAGTAGCTCTAATGATCTGAATAGACCAATGTCTCAGAGTTTTCCAAATCCTCTTGCTTTTGCTTTCTGTTGATGACCTGGCAAGTGTGCATGTGACAAAAGGGACAGGGTAGATGATTCCGGATTAATACAGTTTTATTAATATTAGTTAGTCATTCAGTAGGAATTTATTTCCATGGTCCAGCACTGATAGTGTATTTCTTGGAAAGGAGGTGACTATTCAGTAGATGGTATGGGGACATATTTCCACCGATATTTCTGGATAGCATATGGGTGTCTAGGCATCCATTAGAAGATGTGTGCATTCTAGAAATACCACAATTAACAAGTTATTTCTTATTTTCTATAGTCCACAAGTACAGTTACCCGAAAGGAATAAACTTAAAGAAATCAAAGGAAGATATGATTTCAAGATTGGCATATTCAGGCAATCCCACATCTCTGCTCTCTTAGCTGACAAAATCCTTTACCTATAAGGGAGTGCCAAGCAAGTCTGTGATATTCCTCAATTAGGTTTGCTTCCCACCTCCTCACACAACTATTTCATAACCCCCTCTCTCTCCTTACACCTCCCGTAGCCCTTTTCCCACCATTCATTCCCAAATCATGGCCTTTACTTAATCCTGTATAGGGAAAGGAGAAGCCATCAGATGGAAACTCATCTTTCTTCACCCTCCAAATTTACAAACATAGTTGCAACTGCACCTATCATATCTTTCTTTCATATTATTACAAGAGCCTTTCTTTTTTTTTTTTATCAAAAGCTAGTCCCTCCAGTTGTGTTCTGGATCCATTCTTTGCCTGGTATGAAATTTTGCAGCTTCAAAGATCATTCTCTCAAAGCTCCCATGTTTGGTTTTTCTTACAACAACTCTGTGTCCTCTGCATTATGACTCTACTCCTCTCTTACTCTCTGTCTACTCTGCATTTTCCTGTGCTGTATCTGTCTCTTCATTGTTCCTTATAGCCCTAACCCTCTCACAACATTTTCAATTTAACATTCACAGTCAGCTACAGAGAATCTCAGTGTCTATTAGATCAAATTTCAGAGTATGAAATTTGGCCCACCAACTACTTTGGCCCACTTCTGCTTTTTTTCACCAGGTCATGTCATAGATTGTTAACCATCTTATGGATTAGCTGAATCTAGGCACCTATCTAAGTATGGTCTCTGTGGTGAACAGCATGGAATAACATAATACTAAATAGTGCTGCTGAGGCAGCATTGGCCATGTGCAAGTCCATTTCCTTTAATTTATTTGTGAGAGAAGCCATAGATTAAGTTGGTTTTGTTTTCTGCAATAAATTCTATCATGGGAATCTACACAGAATACTGAATTCTTGTCCAAGGGAGACAGAGATGAGATATTAGAAATGAATGTCTATGGAGGTAGATTCTAAGAATACACGCCTCAGGTAGTTTTCCACTGCCAGTGTTAGGTATAAAGACCTCTCCCTGTACTTCACCAGAGATTGTCCAGAAATATTAAAAATGGGTAGACTGACTCTTAGTACCTTGTGACCAAGCATGTAACTTCATGCTTTACCTGGTCCTTTCCTAGAGAGTCTATCACATTTTCTGGGATTTAAGAAAAGCATCTGAGCTTGTGGTGAAGCTAGAACAAAGGGCTTAATTTTACAGCAGCATTCCATGAAATGGAGTCTGTGTTTATGGTGCCAGCACCATTTTCTCCCAGAAGAACTGCAATTCACAAAATATAAAGTAAGCATAGAATCATTGCCTCCATGTGGAGTGGAGACTTAGTGTCTCTGGCTGTAGATGTCTGTGTTATTAAAGCCAGAAAGAGTAAATTTAAAACTATTTGGCTCTAGTTGAGCAAATAACATAGTTTCCCTTTCTTCAATTTTTTTCTCACATTATTATTCTATCTCTCCATACCACATCTTTAATTTTTAAACTAAAACTTGCTTCTTAAGTATTTTGTTCAATAAAATCTACTCATGAGTATCTAGTTCAAGCACACAAAGATATGGACAGAGAAAAGTGTCTCATTTCCTTTTTCCTTTATTTCTAGATGCTGTATTATGTAAAAGACATCCCAGCAACCCTGAAATTCTTCCACAGTTGTTTAGCTACCAATGCTAAGATTCTTATTATTCTTGTATCAGGTAAGTTATTTTCATCCAGCCTTAATTTTAAAACAGCAAAAGTAAATATATGTATGGATGCATGTGCTTGAAGTCTGTATTAGGCAAGTTCTTCACAACAGCCCCAAGTCTAGAGAGCTCAGTGAAATTAAATCTCTATTCATTTCTTTCTCATTTCAGTAGAAATGTTATTGCTATCTATATATAAATTCTTTTTTTATGTAACATAGAGCAAATACAGCAGTTAGTAATTTTTAATGAGACTAAAAATATTAAATATTTGTTTACCTCCTTTTTTCCCCTTGAATGTTTCTTTCCCCTCAGTGAAATTTATAAGGAAAGAGAGAAAGAAAGTTTTAAATGTTTGGGATGCTATCATATTTGGCTAATTTGCATTTCTAAAGCCATTATCAATATTATTTGTTATAGGTTTTCTCAAATAACTATTAAAAACAGTTCACTTGTTTTGTTTTATGTTGTTTTACTTTCCCAAGAAGACAGTTGATCCTCTCATGTTGCTTACAGACATATAAGTACCACATAGAGAGCACAAGTAAACACTAGCAAATGAAATATTGACCTTGTTGAATTCATTAATTCTTAACTTCTTTTATTCTTCACTTTTTAGGGACTATCCATGCAGGTGCAGGCAGGTTGATTGTAGATATAAAACAGTTTATATCTTCTTAAACTTATACAAGACCCCGTACTCAAAAAACCATATGCCACACAATTCATTTGGCCTTAAATATGAAGAATAACTTTAAAGATAACAAACATGGTGGTTATTCTTAATCCTGGGTTTGAACTCATGTGCAAATTTGGCAAATGAGAGCTTCTGTAAACAATCTCTTCTCCAAGGGAACATTTTGATATACTATTTTTATCTCTGGTTAGTTAAAAATACTCATTTAAGTGGAAGAGTTCTATCTTCCCATTTAGAAGTGCTTATGGAAACTGGATGCTTCCTGCTAATCTCCCTTTAAAATGGGACACTTAGGTAAAGCACTTTGTTGTGCACTTAGGAATGCAAAAGTGAACTTAGTTATCATCATTGAAGGCACTCTATTTTTGATAATCTGTATCAACAATACAGAAAAAGTATTGCAGATAGAAACAGCAATCTACCCAGAAGTTATATGTTTTATTTTAGAACATATAGAATATCCATAGAAATCTACTCTTACTTATATTTGGTTTATTCTTAAATATTTTCAGATGCTAAATACTTAACTGTCAAAAGGCAGCTTTCTATGAGTAAATATCTACCAACAAGTAAAAGCCAACCTAAGGTTTAGAAAGTGTCATGAACAGTCTATAAGCAATTGAGAATAAACTAAATGCCCTTATAGATACAGGATTTTGCTGGCTATATCACAAATAAGTTAATACAATCCATGGTTTATTGGCATCAAGAAATGTGCAAACCAAAACAGGCCCAGTGGAAAGTATGATAGTACTTGAAAGCAAGAATGCTGAGGCACTTCCAAGTGTGAACTTGGTCTATGAATCTAAGTTTACTCAAGGGCTATTTCTGGATAATACCTACATTATATTGCATCTATGCATGTGTGTGATCCATATGTACAATGTATATCTATTTTCATTGGGAAAAATCAAAGAAAGTAAAGGGTTAAAATCAGTTAGCTTTTTAATATTAAAAGTATTTAGAGTCAAATACTATTCAATCAGTGTGGTTTGATAGTGAAAATATTTTACTAACTTTTTCAGTATGCAGTTCCTAATTCTTCATTACTGCACACAGCATGGCAGACAGGTATCCCAAAGAGGAAAACATTGTTAATAGATACTGTTCCTAGATATAAGCATGCAACAAATAACAGTTGTTGAATTAGTAAAGGGACTCTCATTACTTCCTTTCTTTACCATAACACTTCTTTCTTCGAAGATTTTATATAACTATGGAAGAAATATCATACACATTTCTTCTTAAATAACCACTTAGCAAAAGGAAAAAATAGATTTATGTATTTTATTTTGGAGTTTCCACTTCTCTCTTAAGGCTAAAAGTTATAGTGTTCTATTTACCAGAAGAGTTGTTAAGTACAGAAATTTATTATTTATGAGTAAAAACTTTAAAACACAAACTACCTTGTTCAATATAGTTTCCTTTGCAGTTAAAGAAAATATTCTACCATTCAGGTAAATAAAATTGTCTTCAACTTAGTGTAACCTGAATGGCTCCAGATTCCCCAGTCTATGAGCTCGTACTTAACTCTTAAACATGCAGAGTAAATAACAGAAGCCTTCATCCCAAGTAAGTTGGTAGTCTATTACTTGGTCTGTGACTCCTGAGGAGACCTGGGGGTCATTCTTCTGATGGTTGCCAGGCACTGTTTACTCCAAACTGCTGCTCCCAGCTCAATTTTTTGATTTCTTATGGCCAAACCTTGAATGTGCTGCAGCTATCTTCTTTGATCCTGTTCTGCTTTACCCCAAATATGGACATAGCTCTATTTCTTTCATTTACCAAAGCATCGTTCTTTGATTTTGAGAAATGTTGACATCTATGGAGAGGAAGAACAGCAACATAATTCAGCACCGGTTTCTCACAGCCACTCTTTCTTCAGCTTTTCTCTTGTTCAGTTGGGACCCAGTTCCCTTGCACCTATTTATAACTTCTTTCAGAACTCCGCCATATCCTCTTAGCTCAGTGCTTTTGCAAAGTTACCAACTCCTCACTATCTTCCACCTCTCATTTATTATATAGGACAAACTCCCTTTTGCTCTCTCTTACCTCAAGTAAACCTGTGCACCTATAAATCCTTCTTAATAACAACACTTTTTTGTGAGATAAATTCTATTGCCTCCTCAGTGTTTAGAAGTGGCTGCACTTTCATTTTTTAAAAATAGCAATAATGGCTTCATTGTATCAATAAAGCCAATAGAAATATATGGGTCAGCTTTTAGAAAAATAGTCATGGTCAGTTTTCAACAGTGGAGACAAATTTAATCACAAGAAATGTGCAATCAGATTTGTCTTATATCATTGTCAATCAACACTTACGGGGTTAACCACATTTTTATTAGGCTTTTCTTTTTTTCATTGTCACTTCACATCCTTATCTGCCAGACTATTCTGTGGATATTGAATAAGTTTAAGAAAGGTCTCCAGGTCATTTGAGGTGCCCAATCAACTTCCCTCCTCACCCCTGTATGAAAACCATTTCCTAAATAGCCCTCTCAGCCCAAACTGTAATTCTTGAAACCCCATTTTCCATGCTTGTCCAATGAAAACATTCTTTAAACTAAATACTGCCCTAAAACTTGGAACACCTCCTTTAAATGGTTCACATTAGGCCCTGTTTTTATCACGTTTCTTACACACACTTTCTAAATGGAATCTACTTTATAATTACCTAGAAGTGAAGAAACCTGTTTGTGTATTTTCTTTCTTTCAGGCAATATTGTCATTCATAGCTACACTGCAAGGCAGAAAACTGAGTGCCCATTGTAGACAGATTTGGAAAGCCTAAATTAAATTTTGTCATTAAATTAAATTTCTAAGAGCACTCATGTAGCCATTGTCTTATCTAGGCAAATAAAGGTGCTGGATTAACATCTTGCTCTATGTGGTCATCTTAAATATGCCACACAACTAAAACTCCCACCTGTCCATCTCAGTCAGACACTAACCTATTCTGGAATTGACGAGTGATTTCTCTGACTAGACTGAATTACTCAGTTATTTGAGAACTCATTTTTGCAATTTATTAGATTATAAAATAATGAAAATTGGGGTCAGTTTCTAGATTTAATTATGCAGAGCACCTTGCTTGGCTCAGGAGCCATGTCTATTCAGCCTTATTCAAAACAGAATGCACAGGACAGTCATGTAGATTTGGTTCATTCTGCTTTTATTGAGCTCCTGTGGTCAATCACTGGTAGGGTCTGAAGGTTGCAAAGATAGCTTTGCCTTTGCCTTTGCCTTTGAGAGGCTACTAATTAATGTCAGATTCAGACATGTAAACACTTTGAGCAGTGTGCTAAGTTTTCTACTGGAGACACATGGGGCATTTAGGGAGAGTTCCTTGAGAGCAGGAGGCTCTGCCTCATATCACTAGTCCCAGATCTTTGCAAAGCCTTTGGCACCTAGAAGACTCCCAGTAAATGTGATTGAATTGAACTGAATAATTGCTTGTTATTTCCCCCTTATGATATCCAAAATACAACTAGTTCTGAATGTCCTTCCAAACAAAAAAACAAAAACACATGTTTTAGCTAAAACTTATTACATGATGGACATGGAATCAGATAATATAGAAAGTTCTGGAGATTTGAAGATAGCTTTAATAAACAGAAATAAAAGATTCAATAAAGAAGATACATATAACCGTGACTAATGGCTCAGTGGCTTGGGCATTGTCCCACAAACCAAAAGTTCTCCTGTTCCATTCCTGATCAGGACTCATGTCTGAGTTGTGGGCCAGGACCCTGACTGGAGGCATGTAAGAGGCAACTGATCACTTATTTTTTTTTTCCACTTGCACATCGGTGTTTCTCTCCCCCTCTTCCTCCTTCCCTTTTCCTCTCTCTAAAATAAATAAATAAATAAAATTTTTTAAAAAGACACATTCACACACAAAGTACTCACTGAAATAGGTGGATACAAGCAATGAGGGGTAGCCAAGTGGAATTAATTAGGAAAGGAAAAAGAAATTGAAATCAGAATTAAATGATAGCATTTCTGGTCAGCCTTTTAGAATATATGTTGCTTGAGGGAAGAGAGTCTTTTGTCTGTGTTTCTAAGTATCCATTACAGAACTATACCACCTTCAGTAAATATTCACTTAATTATAAGAAGCGGAAGTTCCTAATAATAAAAATAAAAGGTTTATTTGGAAATAAAAAGAACAAAAGGGGTGTATCACACACTAAAATGTGCCTAGTGACATGTTTTTCTGCAAATGTAGTAGCCAGGTATTAGTTGAATGGGTTACTAATTAAAATGCAACCTATGTCGTTAAGGGAGATTAGCCAGAAGGTGATCATTAAAGTTT